ACTAATTTTCCCAGGAAGAATCTTGGATGCTAATCTTTGTGCTGTGAGAACTCCTGGTTCATATGCTGAAATTTAGAGATATATTCTCAGAATAACTGTTTTAAATGTTTAAGATAGAATATGTAAGATTACAAGGAAAACCAGGTTTTTTGATATATTGTAATCAAATTATTTCTTTTTTTTAAATGAAGCATTAAATAACAGGATCTAAGGGCAGATCTTTTAACTACCATAATATTAAAGAAATGATGAATATATAAATATAGATGTTTATAGGTATCTGTGTCCACTCTATTTTTAAAATATTTTTTTAGTTGTAGATGGACACACAATATCTTTACTTTTATGTGGTGCTGAGGATGAACCCAGTGCCTCACACAGGCAAGACAAGCACTTAACCACTGAGCTACAGTCCCAGCCCCTCTGACTTCACTCTATGTTAATATATTTGTGCTTTTTATTGGTTATATTACAAGCACCAACAGTATTGTGATTTGCTGCCAATATTTACAATGGAAAAAAATGCTGGATTTATTAGATGTTAGTGACCTCCCAATCTGTTAACTCAGGATAGCAGTAGTACCCACTTCCATCAGTTGTTTTAAGAATTTAAAAATATATTGTATGTAAAAAATCTCTGCAAAATGCGTAAAGCCTCCTTGTATATTAATAAAAATTTATTTCTCAACAATAAAACTGGATTTCTTAAAGGCAAGATGACATTCATTGCGAAGTTATAAAGAGAAAAATGAAAAAGGGTGAACATCTCTGTTTTAAATCATATAAAGGTCCTCACTTTAGAATTACAAAACTTTTGGTTCAAAACACAGGTTTTAATGAGTGTAATCATAGATCATTAAGTGAAGAAACCTGGCTGGTATGATGTTGACAAATACATGACCTGAATCTTAAAGTAAATTATTTCATTTTTCAAGAACTAAACATTAATAGCAAGATGACCAGGTTAAGAAGTAGACAAATGATTCAATGTAATATCATGCACACATTGAAATGTTAAAAAAAAAAAAAAAAACTAACAACACACCAAAAAAGCTCATGATGTAATGTTAAATACAGCAGTCATAAGCCTTCTTGGATATATTCAGCTGTAAGATCTTCTTTGGCACTACTATTTTGTTAGTTTGGATTATGATTCATTCTGACTACAAAGATTTCTATTTTCTTGGATCCAATTTGCAATTTTTAATAGAAAATATAATTAGTTACAAATTGTTCTTTCAGTTTATCCCACTTTACAGTTCAAATTTCATCTAAGCTATTCCTAACTCTATCAACAACTTCATCATCTCTAAGCCAAGCTATTTTCAAAACTTATACAGCTGTGAAAGATAATCTAGTGCTTTAGTTTACTTGGGTTTTTTTTACTCCCCTGCTGCTGTTTTTATTATCCAATCAAGGGTATTAACAAGAAAATATAACATAACTTCAAAGCATTTCAAAAACAAAGATTCCGGTCATTTAAGATAATGCGAAATTATAACTAAGACCATGACTAACAAGATCTAAGATTAACATCAGTCCCTTTTTTTTTTTCCTCTACTGACCCATTTTAACAAAAAACTTGGTTTTGGAAATACACATTATCTCTGAACAGCTGGACACAGATGCAATGATTAAACTAAAGCATGAGATACCAAATGGTAAAACATTTAATTTCTAAATTTATGACACAAGAACTGCTTAGAAATCAAAATTGTACACAGATGGCTATTATATCATACTTTCACTAGAATAAAATAATGCAGTAAGATAGGAAAAACCACACTACATTTGTCAACAAAACAGAATATGATTTTGAGAAACTGTCACTGGACTGCCTTTAAGATTAACTCTACAATGATTAAAATCAATCTATAGAAAATCAACTTTTATAATGGCCTAACTACAGTCTGGGTCCTTCAAAAGAGTACAATGGGTCTTTAAATCAAATGATAACTCTACTGCAGAGACAGAAATACTGAGTAAATACTAAAGCAAAGTGAAGAAAAATAAAGTGTTACTGCTAAAATTTGTCTTTGTTAAATGATTAAACACATCTACCCACTCAAAAAGTCATGAATATCTACATAACATAGCATGTTTACTAGCTCCAAAAATGTATGTGTGTGTTTATGTGTGTGTGTGTTTATGTGTGTGTGTGTGTATATATGTATATATATATTTTTTAATGTTGGCCTAGGTGTAAAAATTATAGCCATTGGCAGTGAGACATACAGAAAGGTGAGGCCTTAATAAAAAGCTGTAGGGCTGGTACACAAAAGTTTATAGATGCTAAGAATTAAGAGTATTTGCAAGGAGGGAAAAAAAGACAATCTTTCAAAATAATGATTGGAGAAATCACTAAGCAGCAAGATAAACAGAAACAAATACATGGGATTTTCATTTAGTTACTGAAAATGAGTAGTTCATGTACAGTGATCTAAAGCAGGATTTGGAGAAGTTCCTATGTTGTAGGATACCTGTAAATCTGCTTTGATCCTGGAATTAATATACACTGTCTACCCACATGGGATAGGCTGCTGCCAGGCTCCCTCCCTCCACTGAAAAGCCCTAACCCAAAATTCACATGATATTTACAACCCAGGATACTTCAAATTTATTAACTCCTTATTAAGCACAGCATGTGTAGGTAATTTCAAGAAATAAGAAACTATAATAAACAGAAGGGTTTATTTATTTGATAATAATTAATTTTCCCCAATTAATAATATCTAACATTTCATTCATAAATGGGGGAAAATCTCATTGCAAATTTTACAGAGAAAACCACTGAAAATGTTAAATTTTACCTCAAGAATTTGAATTTTCCAAATTCCATCAAATATTATTTCTTGAAATTCTTATTTAAAAACTTCTCCATTTAAAATGCATTTAATATATCCCGTTATTATAAGTGTCACAAATTATAGTCACAAATATAAAAAAAATAATTAAAAATATTTTTCATTTCAGGCTTTAGAACACTCAGAAACTGGTGACAGATCCGTTCATTTAAAACAGTCAATATCACTAGGGAAAGAGTTATCAAACTGAAAGGTAATTTTCAGTCAAAATAATGCTAAGCTCCAAATTTCTATCAATAGGAATAATATTAAATACAAGTGACATTCACTATGCAGAACTAGATAACTAATGTGTCACTATACATTTTTTAAAAGATGACTGAGGATAGGGACAAGTGGGGAGGCAGACAGTGGCGACCTCTGGAGGATGGAATCTCTTCTCTCTGCTGGTCCTAGAAGAGAAAAGAGACACCAATAAGCATCAACACACTGTCCAAAGTCCTCCCCACCAGAGATCCACCAGTCCACAGGTGTTTCTCAACCTTACAGCCAACCTCACCTTCAAATATGGTAATCAGTGCCAACAGAATGTCAAAAATATTACCTATCTTAATTTGATTACTTCTGTCTTTAAAAATATTATTTACTTTTACATAATTGTAATCTGCATGAAATGGTGCAGAAAGCAGCCAGACTTCTGAAAGTAATACCTCTTAACATTCATATGAATAATAGCTTTCCAAAACCATTTCACTCAATTATTTTAAATTATAAGGAGGCTTTCAAATAAGATCTAAATTCTCCATAAGTGTATATGTGCTATTGCATATGAAACGCGTAGCTACTACCAAATATTTTGGTTATATATTGTTTGTGACCTATTCAATGGTCACAGGTAACAACAGAAAGGATGGGGAGATGGAAGTGCTTACATCAACCTGACAACGAGAAATTAATCAACTTGTACAATTCGAAAAAGGTTATTATACTCTGGAAAGAAGCCTTAAAACAATGGAAATTCAAAGAATGATGATCTATCTAAATAATTTAGACTGGCAATATTAAATAACCCCCACAGTTCTGTAATACAAATAGCAAATAGAATTCTACAGAATTTTATTTTTCTAGGAAGTACAGCTGACTGGTAATTCCAAATCACAAGTTCTTAGACACCATTTACACTTACACAACCAGTTCTCTGAATCACTGTTATTTTCTCACATATCACTGTGGAAGGCCTAGTTACTAGAAACCATGTCCAAAGTAAACTCTATAGTAAACTGAACTCAGTCACTCAAGACTAAGACCCAAATGTATACAGTGGGGAATGAATTAATTTAAATTAAATAAACAGCATCTATGATTACATACTATTACTCTTTCCAAGTAGCATACCAGGCACTAGAAATACTAAAGTACAGGACAATGTCTGGTCATGTAAAACAGCAGAGAAAATGCCTTTTTGGAAGCCCTGAACGTTTGAAAACAAAGGTTCTTCTGGAATCGCTGGCTCTGAGTGAATGCAATTTTAGCTTAAGTTGTATTTTCTAACTAAAGTAAGTAAAGTAGGTGAACTGTTTCTGGGTTCCACTGTGCATCTACATTGTACTAGCCGCAAACAAGTCCACAGGGATGTAATAAATCTAAAACTGAACGCTTGAGAGAAGTTTGGGAAGCGCCAGAGAATCAGGTTGAAAGTCTGGTTTTGTGAAACCATTAAGAATTTTAGATCTGGATAAGAGCTCAGCAAAGAAAGGAATTCACACAACCAGTCCTCTGAATCACAGTTATTTTCTCACATATCATTGTGAGAAATTCTGAACAACTAAATTCTGGACAATTCCTCGGAAACACAACAGTAACCAAAACAGAAACAACTGTTTGACCAAGCAGACAGGCTTTTATGGCACCTTTCCTGGGAGCTTCAAATGTCTTCATAAGTCACTCAACTGCAATTGCTGCAAAGATGTAAGGTGCTGGGGCGGCAGCACAGGGCGGAGTGCGTCCCAGTGGCCTAGACCAGGCAAAGGCCACCTGCCCGCAAGACCACGTTCACCGCGAAGGCTGGCCTCGCCCCTAGCGCGCCTAGCGCGCCTCCCAATCGGCTCTGGCCCGCGCGCCGCTCTCGTGCTGAGGGCGCCAGTCACCGCATCCCACGGCCAGCGGCTCAGCGGCCCGCGCCCGCAGCGCCCGTACCTCACGCCGCTGCTCCGAAAGCCAGCGGACCCGCGCCCGGCCGTTCCCGGGGACACCACGCGGGGTGCAGCGCTCTCGCCCAGCGCCGGCCCTCGGCCCAGGAGACCACGGAGGAGCGAGGAACCACGGGCCAATACTGTCATGGCCGAAACACCGGCTTCCCACCCCGGGTTCCACCTCCCGCAGCTGGAATCCTCACCGCCAGAAGCCGGCTCTGCCCCCACCCGGCCTGGCGGAGCAAGCGCTTGGGCCAGCTGCCGGGTTCTGGGTCGCTGTGCTGGGCGGGGCCAGGAGCAGAGCTCCGGGTGGGGTTGGTCCGAGAGGAGCCGAGTCCTCAGGGGCGGGGCCAGGAGACGGACCCCTGGGAAGGCGGAGCCCAGAGGAGCCGGGTCCTTAGGGGCAGGGCCAGGATCCGATTTCTGGGCGAGCGGAGGGTATTGAGCGTTCCAGAGAGCTGGAGACCTCGGAGGCTGGCGTTGTGGCCTGGCGGCCGGTGTCTGCACCCACCCACATTCTGCTGACCTTCCCATAGTGAGGGCTCAATGAAGACATCCGTACCAATAACTTCAGGCAGCCCCCCTTTTCCCTAAGTCAGACTCCCTCCTCGTCCCCAGGGTTAGGTGGAATTTGACTTGAAGCTGTAAAGTAATAGGGTCTTTGTTTCCCAATGCCTTTAGGTGACCTTGGGATACCTAGAAGAAAGAAGTCTAAAGAGATGAAGATTTGAATATGTGGAGGAGAACCTCTTCCAGCAAGTTCCTTATAAAATGTTTAATATGTGTGTATGTGTATGTATGTGTGTGTGTATATATATATATACACACACACACACACACACACACATATGCGTGTATATATATGTATATATGTGTGTGTATACACACACACACGCACACACATATCAGACGATTGATTCGATATTCCAGTTAAGACAATAAGAGTCATAGATAAAACCATCTGCAAAGTCAACAGGAAATATTTCTCCCTGGGGCTGGCTGCAGCTGTGAAGAGTCATAACAATCTCTTTTCAGAACTGCTTTTTGACTGAGAAAATTTGTTTTCAAAAGTTACAGACTGTTAGAAAATTGTTCTTTAAGAAGTATATCACTAAGAATGAGCATCTTGTCTTGCTGATATGTCAATTTGACACAAAGAAACAACCTAGAAGAAAACAGAAAATTTTAGCAACTAGATTTTAGATCTAAATCAAAATATATTTTTTAAAATCCATTAAATCAAAAAATCACACACACAAAAATTAATTTTAAACTGCTGCTGTGCAAAAAGGCACTGTTAGGAGAAAATATTTGTGAAACTTTCTGATAAAGAAAGTGCCCGGTGCCATGGCACACATCTGTAATCCCAGCAGCTGGGGAGGCTGAAGCAGGAGGATCATGAGTTCAAAGCCAGCCTCCACAAAATCAAGATGCTAAGCAACTCAGTGAGACCCTGTCTCTAAATAAAAATACAAAATAGGGCTGGGGATTTGGCTCAGTCAGTGGCCGAGTGCTTGGTACTAAAAAAAAAAAGAAAGAAAGAAAAGAAAAAGAAATGTTTTGTACCTCAAATATATATATTAAAAAAATTTAAACTTAATAACAAAAATTAAACAAGCCAGCTAAAAATTTGCAGAATATCTGAACAGATAACCTACCAAACACAAACAAGATACACAGATGAAAAAGAAAGCACATAAAAGAAAAATATTTAATATCATTTGCATTAAGGAAATGCAAATTAAATAACCATAAAATACCACTACATTCCTGGAAAAATAGCTAAAGTCCAAAAGCTGACAAAGATATGGAGCAACAGGAGCTATCATTCATTTTGACAGGAATAAAAATGATTTAATTGCTGGGTGGTGTATGCACACCTGAAATCCCAGCCACTGGGGAGGCTGAGGCAGGAGGATCTCGAGTTCAAAGCCAGCCTCAGCAAGAGTGAGGTGCTAAGCAACTCAGTGAGACCCTGTCTTTAAATAAAATACAAAACAGGGCTGGGAATTTGGCTCAATGGTTGTGCGACCCTGAATTCAATCTCCTGTACAAAAAAAAAAAAAATCAATCACTGTTAGTCAGCTGTCACTGTGACAAGAGATAATTAACTTAAAAAGAGGAAAGGTTTATTTTTGCTCACAGTTTCAGAGGTTCCAGTCCATGATCAATTGGCCCTGTTGCTGAGGGTCTGTAAGAGCACATTACATCATGGCAGGAGTATGTAGCAGAGGACACTAATTCACTTGATAGCAGTCAGGTGGGGGCTCCAATATCCTATTCAAGGGTATATCCCCAGTGACCTAACTTCCTTCCACTCATCCCCACCTTTTAAAAATTACACCATCTCCCAACTGGTCCATAGGCTGGAGACTAGGGCTTTAACACATGGGCCTTTAGGAGACATTTAAAGATCCAAACTATAGTAAGTCACTTTAGATGATTGCTTGGAAAACTAACAAAACTTCTTTCAAAGCTAAAAATAGCTTAACTGTATTAAACAGTGCTAAACTATGAGCAGTCATGTTTCTAGCTATTTGCACAACTAATTTGAAATTTATATCCTCACAGAAACCTCCATATGAATGTTGATAGCACTTTCATTCATACTCTCCAAAAACTAAGATGTTCTTCAATAGGTGATGAATAAACATATTGTCATATAACCACACAATGGTATATTATTTATCCATAAAAAAGGAGGTGAGCTCTCAAGCCATAAGATGAAGAAGATGAACTTTAAATGAATATTGATAAGTGAAAGAAACCAGTCTGAAATAATTACATAATGTATGATTTCAATTCTTTGACATTGCATAAAAGGTAAAACTATAGAGACAGTAAAAAGATTAGTGGTTGCCACAGATTCAGAAAAAGAGAAGCTTTAATAGGTGAAGCACAGAGGAATTTTAGGACAGGGAGACCATAAACATTTAGAACTTTATAGCACAAAGAGTGAAACTTGTAGGTGAATTACAAAAAATCATTTAGGAGATCGGTGTTTTCCAAAAAGGAATGCAGACTGTGACAAGATAATCTAACTGCTTTACAAATGTAATGTATCCTCACTGAAAGGGGTGAGGAAATCTTCTTACCTAAGTAACTCTGGAACTGAATAGAATCCTTAAAACTAATGGCAAAAGAAACAGCATATAAACATTAAACAATATTTAATGAAGTTGGAAATATAAGTTAACAATTCTGAAATGGTATGCATATACACTGGAATAGTTAAATAAATAAATGAGGGATGGTGGGAAACAGGTTTCTTGCTTTTGGAGTAAGAATCAACATAAGCAACGGGAGGAGAATAGAATGATCCATATACCAATGGACTAATGTTGGAACATCTTATGAACAGATTTTTGGCATAAAATAGATACATATAGTTATGTACAGAAATATTTATAGATGTGTGAATATTCAGGAGTTAGTATGCATACATATTTCTCTGCTTTGTCAGCTGAGACTGCCTAAAAGAGACAATACCTAGTAGCAATAAGTAAACCTAGAACCCAGACTTTAACAATAAAGGAACCAGGAATCCTTGGAGAAAAGGCTGATTCTAGGACTTGATCAGAAAATATATAAGACAAGTCTATCTTTAATTCTTGCTCAAAGAATTCCATTTTAATGGGACTATGCCAAAGACAATGAGCTAAATGGGCTCTTCGAGGCCAAAGCTGGAATAATTTGAACAGCAAAATAAAATAGTATGGGGTTACAACTCAATGTAAAATACTAACAATCAAGATAGCATACTTATATAAATACATAATTAGATAAATAAATGAATGGAAGAGAAGAGAAAATCATGTGCAGATTCTAAAAATTTATGTAGATACTATACCCTCAAAGAGGAAGAGAAAAGCTCTTCACTCCTTAAGTGGGAATTGATCATAGTGACTTCCTTTCAAAAACTATAGTTTGCAAAGAAGAAAAGAGAGTGATTTAGTAGAAAAGCCTGACAAAAACTTGTTCAGCCATGTTATTAATTAACATCAAGTGATAGACTATGTTGATTGTATGGATACTTGATAAAATGAGATCAAAATTATACTTTACCTTTGTAGTATTTTTCCAGAACTCATAATTCCAGTATAATGAGAAAGAATTTTAAGTCATCCCAATAGAGGGATATCCTAAATATAGCTGAGCAGTACTTGTTAAAATTGTCAAGGTCATCAAAAACAAGGGAAGTCTGGAAAACTGTCACAGCCAAGTGGAACCTTAAGAAGACATAACCAAATGTAATGAGGGAACCTGAATTAGGTCCTGGAACAGAAAAATGACTTTACATAAAAGCTAAGAAAAAATAATGTAATATAACGCATCAGTACCGGTTCTTTAATAATGTGATATTAATAATAGGAGAAACTGGATGTGTGGTACATGTGAACTCTTGATACTATCTTCTCAATTGTTCTGGAAATTCATAACTGTTCTAAAAACTAATGTCTTTTTTATTCAGCCAGAGCAGGTATCCATTGGAATCAATACCAGGAGAGGTTCTCTAAAGTGGACTTTATCCAAGTTATATTTATTGCAATTATTGACCCTATCCCCTTCTGGACTAGAAATTTAAGAACTGATGCTGAGACCTTCACAAGAGAACCTTAGAAATCAAGGAGGGTCAATGGGGAATTAAGAAAGACACACAAAAATTTACGGAGAGAAAGTTGGGACCAGGAGAGACAACATCCTCTGGTGGAGGAACAATGACACAGAGCTAGTATAGTACATTTATTATATTATCATCAAAAGGTTTTTCGTGGGAAAGTTTCTGTAAAGCAAACAAGTTTGAAGGTCACAGCACTTGTGAGTCATTGTGGTTATCTTGTATGTTCAGAATCCTCTATCCCCAGCAGCTGACCTTAAGGTCCAGACTCATAGAGTTCTGGGCCTTTGCACAGAACTTCATCAGGCAGGGCATCACCATAGTAACTGGGCAATCTTTTTCTGCATATTTGCTCAGAAAGTTCCCAGCACAAGTTCAGCCATAGCCGTGAGGCAGAGACCATGATCTAAGTCACCACTCTTGCACATCTCCCCCTTTTATATTTTTAAAATGTAACTGATGCATGTCTACTCTGAAGTGCTTGAACTTGTATCAGATGAGCTTGCAGATGACTGAAAGAAAACAACATTGACTTAAGAGTAAG